GTTCTGATGAGAACAGTGTAAGCGTTCAAGCAAACCACTTCTGAAGATGCAAGCCACTCGTGCTTGCGAAACATCAAGAAGAAATTCTACCGAACGACGGCCTAAAAACCCAAAAAACCTATTAGTTTCAAGGAATGGCCTCGAAGGTCTATCGCTATCCAACAAGCAGTTTGTAAAATATGAATCCGCCTCAACAATATAGAACTTATCTACTAGTTTCTAGACGGTTTTTTTTGTGACGAGGCACTGAATCCATGTTCCGCCAAACAGGAAGATGGAAAAGCAGTCAACAGATAATGTTGGATATAAAATTGTGATCTGCTTTTGCAACCAGAGATGGGCGAATCCTTGTTCAGACACTGATTTTCGCTTCCCATTTGTGGATAACTCAATAAGTTGCTCCAGTATTAGTATGTACATCTGCATTTGTGCTCTGAGTTTGACCACTTGCAAAAGGGTTGTATTCTAGAATTTTAGAGACTGGCGTTGTACAGGAACACCAAAATCGTTTAAATTTTCCAATAACTCCCTGATTGAGCCCCTTGGGGTCTCTAGAGTCCGCTTGGGAAATCACTGGGTTAGATGGTTAAGAAACGAAGAAAAAAGCTTCATAAAAATTGCAACCACCTTTAGTGGACACACTGTAGATGTTCTATTTTAAAATAATAAAATAATCATGTGTGTTAACTAGTTTCTAAATATAAATCAAGGAAAGGCAGCTTCTGATTACTGAAACCAGAGTAAGCGGATCTATTACCATCGAACCGCTTTGTGTTGTCATTAGACTAGGTAACTAACAAGCAGAGACAAAAATAGGAACAAGTGTTTACTTACCAAATACGCATTTGTCGTGTTAGAATCGCCATTAGGAAATGGTGTGTATACAGCCAGGGCGACACAGTTTGCGAAAATCGTCATTAAAATCAACCATTCGAACGGTCTAGTGGTCAGAGTTAAGGAAACTCCCATGTTTATTTAATGGTTAACAAAACCGCGTATTCACTACTTAAGTTTTGGCGAAAAATCCTCTAGATTAACATGCTAATTGCTTTGTCCACCATTATAGCATCGCTGCTGCCATTAATATTAGAGCTTATCACTCTGCACTTCCCCTGATGGATTTTAAAATTTTAAACTTTGCCAGCAAAATGACCGAATTAACATAGTTGAACCATCAAAATGCCACTATGCAACCAAATAAGATAAACGTAAATTTACAGGCTTTACATGTATTAGTTCATCAAGAGTAAAAAATAATGAAAGTTTGCTATTTAGTTAGCCCACTTCATTCTGTTAACATACTACCTAACTCAAACATTCCATTATAAATTACCATTGTTTGATTACACCCTGACAGCAAAAAGGGATTATGTACATTCATTCAACCCAGCTTAATGGTGAGGATGAAAGTGAATGGAAAATATACTGGATTCTGCCGTCTCTAAGCAAGAGTTTGAGTTGAACGATAACACCATAATAGTAATTCAATAGTTGTTAACTTTCAGTTTATTGGACAATCAACGCCTGGTTAACTGATGAAGCCATATGGCTAAAACGAGCACTATATTAAGTTTACGTTGATTTTAGGGTGCCGCACTGAAATAACTGCCACTATAATGAAATTAATGTACTAAAAGGAAAATCTTCCACTGGAATATTCGGGGATATTTTTGTAAACCAATATTGCCGATAATGTTGCGCACTTAAGAATAATGATTTGTTTCAGTTAACCGGATTAAAGTTCATACTTAAATAGAGCATCCCATCTAAAACATTTACAATGCGTAAATTAGGGCGAACAAAGCGATTGCAACGTCGTAACAAAAATAATGAAGTAATTATTTCGATAAGCTTTGGGAAGATTAATTTCCAATTTTTTGATAAAGAAAAAGTCATAGAAGCAGGAGGCTTTGTTGGGATTATTTCATTTTTGCCTTGCGAATTACTACTATACAAAGCTTAGGAATTATCCGAGAACTCTCTTCGAAATCGTTCTATCCGAAAAATATAATAAAATTCCTAACCGAAAAAGCTCGATATTAAATCCGCAGAACTTTTCCGTGCATCATGCTCAGATAGCCATTAAGAAGACTTAACTGCATTTTTCCTGTTAATGTTCTTCAAAGGCTAACTATTTGGGAGTAGTGCGAGGAAAATTCAATAACCCGGCTAATAGTCTACAAAAGCCGATCAGGCAATACGGAGGTGAATAAAGACAATGGAGCCCTAAATCCCCCTCAATCGCTTTGGCGAATTCATGTTCAGCTAGTACATTATCAAAGTAAATCGGCCTTTAAGCAATCAGAAAATTTGCCGAATTCAGATAACGACAGCAAATCAGAGATGTTAGAAAAGGGATAATATTACCCGCTTTAACGAAGGAAAAGATTTGCCAATTTGAATGATTGCAAATCATAATCACTTTAGCAGTCAATCCTTGGGCGGCAAACATGTTTGCGAAGCCCTACATGTCTGTAACTGAACGCAACCAATATATTCATTCAAATGACCCTTTAAACGTCTCATTCAATCACAGGGAGAAACATGCTTCACTTGCGGTTAGGAAGTTAATTCTCAGTTATCGATCAATGGGAAAACCTTCAGAGAAAGGGCAGTAGGGAAGAGACCTAAAGAAGTTGCTTTTACCATATTGAAGCTCTCGTCACATGTTTACAAAATGAACAGCTATTTTTAAATTCAGCACACAAAATCGAGGCTCATCAAAATGATTTAAAAGGGTCACGCAAAATCTAGTAAAAATTGTCACATATCAATTCTAAAATTGTTTCATAAGCTCGATCGAGTCAGGAAATAGCTGTCTGACCTTATCAATACAAGGGGAGAATAGATATATTGGAAGGTTATCATGTTACATATTTGATGACTTGTTTCCATCTAAAAAGATAAGAAAAGTGAAACCCTGATATGGAAAAATCAACCCAAACCGATTTAGGAGAAGGAAACTACTAACCACATATTTAATTAAAATCGGTATGAAGGAGGAAAACTCAGCTATCCGGTACAAATGTTTCAACAAACGAAAGAAGAAACTTCAGTTTTCAGACAAAAGAAGTCTATATATATATATCTTAAGTAGTCCAAAAATCGTATTTTCCACTTAAGACATCAGACAAAGCCTTTGAGCATAAAAGTTGCATGTCTGATATAATCATTTAAATAGGCTATCGATTAAGAGGTAGCCTCTACTGACTGCTGAATAACCAAATTATAGCTGCTTCTTAGGTCCGCTTTAGAGCTAGTGTTTAATTGAACTAAAATCTACAGACTAAGTAGTTTTTACTAATGAAAACAGTAAAAAGCATGCAACGGGAACCTTCGAAATGTTCTAGTAAGCGCTCTTAACTGCAAAATACGAAAGAGCTTTCAGTAAAGTCACTGACTCCAATTCCAGCTGGAATCAATAAATATTCAATTTAATGTCAATTTACAATGGTTTGCTCTAAAATGTCGGTCTTTTATTAGAATCGTTTTGTGACAGACAATAACGATTTCAGCGAATTCAACTAATCAAACGAACACGATTCGTTTACACATATTTTTAATTTAAAAGAACGCTTTAAAAGAATAAAGGCGCCAGGAAAATAATTGTTAAAGCCCTCTATAGTAACCCAAGCTCAGCAGTTTACGCTAATGTGTGCAAATATTAATTCGGCTGGTGGCAAATTGATTAAAGCTAATGCTCATTATATATTGAGCCGCTTGCGATTCTTGTTCAAATACGCTCTGTCAACGGCATTTTGGGCTTAGTTATTCCTTCATAATTATTCCCCTGAACATGGATGATAGTGGATTTGACTAATTGCCGAGAATATTTTAGCGCTGAATAAAATGAGCGTAAAAACCCAAAGCGCCATGCGGTGTTCAAATGCTTTTCACTTTGCCACTCGGTTGCGAACCTCTCAAAATCGCCCAAAAGAGTTATTCGTAAAATGAGTTAGTAAAAATTGGTGTCATTCCTCTGGAGGTGTTTCTGGCGTATATGTGGGGAGTAGCTCCTGAAGATACACTTTTACTTTTGGTATGGCTAAACGTTCCAGTTAATCAATTAAATTTGGATTTTGAAAAATTACGATGGCTTTATTTCTTTATGGGATTGCTCAACGGTCACCTAAAATGTGTTTGATGTCAACATTCGTACACCAATTAACTCAAAGTGTATGAAGACTTTCACGGCCGGTTAAATCACATTTAGGAATGTTTTCCGGGCTTTGAAGCCGTGGTCTATGGGAATTTCTTCCTGACGTTTCGTCCACAACTGC